AGAGAGAGAGAGAGAGATTCTGTCAACTCTGAGATACTAACCTGAATGACTTACAATTTCAGAGTAAAATTTTATTAAAATGAATTGGAATTTTTCAAATTTAATTCTAGCAGAACCACAAAAGATAGATCCTAGCTAAAATGCTTTTAAAAATAGCATAAAGTACTCTTGGCATATTATTACATCAAAGTATGAAATTCTTAAAAATGCCACCAAATCAAGTAAAGAAGCAATAAATGAATCATTCAATTCCCTTTCAAACAAATGATTACTATTTAGAATCACAACAATTTTGACAGAAATAATTTGTTTCTTTCTCTGTGAAGATCCAATACAACATAAAAAAAGTAATTCCTAAAACAACACAATGACAACACAAATAAGCAACATAATGACAACTGTGTTATTTTTAAAAAATGTTCAGCTAGGGAAAATGTTCCTGAGTTAATGGTACAACATTAGTAATTTAATATATTTGAGAAGTTAAAATTAAAAGAAAAAAACCCCTCCAGGTCAGAAAAGAAATTCAAATTTGGCATTCTCTAGTGAGTTTTACCAACTAGCAAAGAATGTAGTATATTATAGCCAATCAGAAAAATAATAAATGTCTATTTATTCTTTGCAATTACATTGTTGAAGTAAAGAATGTAACTGTTGAATATCTCAGTGAGAAAATAAGGAAATATTTTACTTAACTACACACTCGTCCCTAATACTTGCCATGTATTCTGATTTGATAGCTACTGAAAATGGAATTACTTTTTAAATCTAACCATTCAAAGGTCTTTCCATTTTTCACTCTTTGACATAAAACAGCTTTAATCTTTTTTTTTACATTTAACTGCAATAATTTTCCATTTTAAAAAAAAGAGAGACTTGAAAAGAGAAAGCAAATTATTCTGCAGGCAGCACAAGACACTCATACCAGAGATTAAAAGTAATGAGAGATGTCTAGATATTACCTAGAAGAACAATTTCTTTGGTAGGCTTCAGCATTTGGCCTCATGGTTTCTACCAATGTGTACACTCTCTGCTCTGCTCCCTAATGCACCTTCAACCTTGGCCCACTCCCCCACTGTTTCTGGTAACTGGGATAGAAATGCCCTTCACTGGAAAACCAATGCAGATCTCTTTGGACCATCTTTTTCATGCAAAATTAATACACAATTTATAGATGTTAACTGGGCGATATTTTTTGTGCACAAAGAGATCTATTTTAGTAGCTTTAAACAAAAGTATCAAATGACAGTGTGTTCTAGTACCTCTTTTTCCTACAGCTCCAAATAATGCCCAGAAGAAAACCATCACATTGTAAAGAAAAGATTGAATTTAAGCAGGACGAAGCCACCACATGCTATCTGTCTACAACCTGTGTTTCCCCAAGGAGACCATGTGGTACTTCAAGTCAATAGAAAATTCCTCGAATGCCCTTGTGGTTTCTGGTAGATGTTGCAGTCCTTGAAATCGAGGAGAAAAGAAAATACATTTTCTGTAAATCCACATGTCATTAGAAAATAAGCTGGGTAAAGTTTGATAATTGCTTCATTTTCCCCAGTGTTCCTGAGAACTGTCAAATTCTACTGAAGTTAAGAGATATGCATATTTTCCCCTCTTTTTGCCTTCGAGGTGTGTGTGTATGTGTGTATGTGTGTGTGTTGCCTGTCAGGGGAATTTGTTTACAGACCAAAATCATCGTTGAAACCCTGTTTTCAGAGGCTGTTTGAGTCAGCTGTGCTGACACCTAATTCCACACTCAAGTCTCCTAGCCAGAAATTGAAAAGCAACTGGGAGGATTCATGCTCTATTAGGTTTTTACCCTCCACTGCCCTCAAAGGAAAGAGCTCACTTTGTACTTCCTCTTTTTTCTGGCACAGTGAAATCAGGAATAATACCCATCTCCTAGGGGATGGGAAAGAAGCAAGCCAAGGTGTCAACTGCAAGTTGCATGCCAGCTCAGTCAACAGCATTGCACCTCAATGATTACTCGTAAAATGTAAACGGGTAATAACAGCCACTTAAAATACATTGTACTTGTTTGGGGTTTGTTTGTTGTTGTTTTTTTGAGGGTTTGTTTTGCTTTGTTTTTTACTTCTAACTGAACTTTGGTTTAATTTTCTGAAATTGTCCTAAAATATAACGCAAGGGTTCCAAATGCAGTCACAGTCTCTGACAGCTAGCTGGAAAAAGTGCTGCTGTACCTCGTGTTTAAATAATGGACAAAAGTGGAGTTTTCTACAAATATTCCAATAGTTAAAGATTCCCCAGCTAATAATACGTGGTGTGATTTGTCATCTTGTGTCCATGCGCTCACCCCCGACCCCAACACCCTAGGCTTACCTGTGTACAGGTCATCTTTGTGTGTTAGACCAGGACTCACCGGCATCCAGCAACATGCGACATGTACTCCCTTGGAAGAGAAGATACGTGGATTAGTTCGTAATTCTTGACAAAGTAATCTGCGCTGAGCAAAGGGTCAAGTTCGGTCAGGAACACCGGGGTGGTGCACAAGCCCGGTCTGTTGGTCAGAAGATGACACGGTAGAAACCTTAAAAGTTCCCCAATCAGCATTTCAAGCAATACAAACAAACACAGAGATTGGATTTCTAAAATTGTTCTGTGTTTTGAAATTCAAACTTTTAAGAGATAACTGAATTGATTAATTTATTTCTTAATCCCTATGAAAGAGGGCACAATTCTTAAACATAAAATAGAAATCATATCAGATAATGAAAAGTTCAGTATAGTTCATTAAATCAGGCATCAAGTACATAAGCAATTCTGAATAACTATAGGCACATAGTAACTTTTCACGTGCTAATGAATTTTCAAAGGGATAGTAAAAGCACTAAGATGTCTTCTTTTCTTTCTTTCTTTTTCTGATATCTCTCCTTTCCTTCTTTCCCTGATTGCTTCCTTACTTTTTTTAAATTTTCTTCCTCTTAATTTGTTGCTCATATAATGAACTCAGCAACGTCCCAGTCAAGGTGTTTTATGATAGTTGATGTACTATTTTCTAACTCATGTGTTTCCTGAGGAATCTTGGCAGAATACATGATCTAACTTTCAATCCCTAAAGCATCAGGAACTGTGGAAAACAAGTTTCTCATATAAACATGAACAAAAACTCTAGATGCCACTCAAATGGTTCACCTTGTCACAAATTTGAAGATCCCAATTACTTAACCAACAAACAAGAATACAGTGCTATAACCAGAATCACACTATCTCCTCCTGCCAAATACAGGTAAACAGCACCATCATTAGTCTCATCCCTGCTAATAATAGAGTCGTAAGAGGTTTTGTTTCCTCTTTTTCATGATTAAAAAAATCATGAAATATTTATATACCATTATTTCTTGCTTTTTCTTACTTTCTTTCTTTTCCTTTTTTTTTTTTTAAGCAAAAGGGAAGAAATTAATTGGTGCCCATACAGGACACCCTAGAGGGGCCCAGCATCCCCTACTGTGTAGGCATGCCCAGCAAAGGGTCACATCATTCACTGTACCCCATGTCCCAGAGGGACTCCCCTTGAGCCGAGCCCCAGAGCCCCAGGACTGGCTGGGGATGGGCATTTCTTGCTTTTTCTACCCCCTGGCTGCTTCTGAAGTAAAGAAATTCTTAGGAAGTGAAGCACAGTTTCTTGTTACAGCACATATCACAGAAAAACAATTAGGTTTTCATTCTGTGGTGACTCAAGCCTTTGATCCCCACTTACTGCGCCGCGAGCAGGAGCCGTGCGAGCAGCAGCAACAGCAGACGCCTTGGAAAGGTGTCTTATCTCTGGGTGCACTTTTTGAAGGAGAGGCAGTTCTTCGCCGTTTCATCATCACAGCTGTAATGGCTAAACACTCACAACTTCTTCCTTTGTGATGGAAGGGCAAGTGGACTTCTCTAAGCAAATACCAAGGAGAATGGTAAGAGGACAATTATGACCTAGCTTTAACTACAACTCCCTGTGTCTACATTGCTGTCCAATGTAAGCATACCGCTTACGGGGATGGCCACTGTCTGATAATCTACTGTGCCCCCGCCCCCACTTTCAGAGAGTTTACTTTATTTAGGAGTTGGAGTGACGAGGTCTTTTTCAAGCTCTTGAAAATATTATATTTCTAGTGTCTTGCTTTTTGTGCTTCATCCAGCAGGAGTATTTATCTACCCCCTCACAGGATTTAGTGATGCCCAATCACCAGCCATTCTGTGGGAGAAAGAAAGATGAGACTTTGTACCGCCATGAAGATACAGTCTCAGAAATCCATAAAGCTAGTTCTACTGTGTCCTAGAGACTAATCATCCATCTACTCTGAGAGCAGTGGTGGTTTAGTGGGAGCATCCTTGCCCCTCACGAGAGACACCTGGCTTTGACTCTCAGTCTGTGTACCTCACGGACAGCCATTCACTAACCATCTGTCAGTAATCATCTGCTTGTTGCCCCGCAGACTTTAGCAAAGTTCCAGAAGAAGACACCCTAGAAAGGAAAGCCTGAAAATCTACTTCAAACATATAATGAAATCAATGGAAATCATACGAATCACGATCGTTTGATCCCACTGCATGTGGGGGCCATGCATGTGGGGGCCATGTGACGTCAGCTAAACAACGGCCACAACCTTACTTACTCCCACAGCAGGCGCATGGCGTGAAGACATAGGATGTGAGGAGGACACATCAGTCTGCATATGGGGCAGGAGAGCCCTTCTCAGCGCTAGGGAACGCTCTTAGGCCTTCTCGGCTTAGTTAGGGTGACCTATACCTCAAGTCAGTCTGTGGGTGGGGAAAGATTCATGTGGATGGGATATATTGCTGGTGTCTGTAGTCTGGGCTAATTTGCCACACTTTGTGACAGTGGTCACATTGGCATGCAGGATCTTCCCACTCTGTCTTATCCCACCTCCCAGTAGAGCCCCTCAGCTGTCCTCCCACGCTTCAGATTAGGTAAACCTCATTAGATGTCCCTGTGTTTGTTTTCATTCCAGTTCTTTCTGGGCAATGTGAAGTGACTGACTAGCTGTAGTGGATAATTTGTTGTGTCAACTTGACTAGGCTATGGTGCCCAGTTGTTTGATCAAACACTAATCTAGATGTTGCTGTGGAGGCAGTTACAAGTGATTAATATTTACAATTCATGTAAACATGAAATAAAGGCTTTAAATGAAGTGAATTGCCTGCATAATGTGAGTGGGTATTATCAAATCAGTGATAATGAAGGCAACAAGAGCAACTCCTGAGATTTCCTGAGGGGAGAGAGAGTCTGCCTTGAGACTATGCATAGACCCCAAGCTGGAGTTGCCAGCCTGCCTCCTGACTTGCAGATTTTAGACACAATACTGCCAGAGTTTCCGAGACTGCTTTATCTAAGAATGTAGAACTTGACAGCAGCACAGTTGAGTGACTCAATTCCTTAAAATAAATTTTGTATATATATTGATAATATGCATATGAAGAGAAATGTCTGTATGCATAGACATAGCTATATCTACCTATCTATATAAACATAACTTTCTCTATGTATCTAATCTGTCCATATCTCCTATTGGCTCTCGTGCTCTGGAGAACCCTAATACATTACCAAAAACTGACTTAAAGAAACAAAAGTGACTTACTAAAATGAAATACCTAGAATGGAAAAATATATAAAGTTCAGAATTTAATAACAATTAACACGGGTAGTAAAAAGGAGGAAGTGTGTGTGTTTGTGTGTGTGTGTGTGTGTAAGAGTGATGGGAATCACTGCTTAGGTAGCACCAAGCTTTTGTTTATAGGGATAGAGAATTTGCTGAAGAATTTAGCAGTGGTTGTACATCATGATTGATGTGATTGTTCTTAATGAATTGTTCATGTGAAAAATTTTGAACTGGCAAGTGCTGTCTGCATTTTTACAACAAACTCCCAATAAACAAAAAGATGAAAATTTAAAATTTAAAATATGGCTTCACATGTGAAGTAATGCTTCACATTGATTAATGGTATTTGATATCTTTCCTAGGCTAAATAGAAATAGTTTCCTTTGAAAAGAGACCTGCAGGATTAACCTAAGAAGGCAACTAGTACACAAAAAACACCTCAACTCCACATCCCTTTAGAAGACAAGTAGAGTGTACATACGTGAGGCTCCCAAGGTAACTGTTTCTGCAGTCGCCAAAATGAAATTGGATCAATTATTGTCAGGTGTCCCAAAAATGTGTGATTTCCCTGGGGGAAAGCAGAAAGAAAACAAAGGATGGAGAAAGAGATTCATATATATGCTTAATACACCCAGAGAGTTTGGATGTAGTATCAGAACATCTGGCCTATTCTTTAAAGTTTTCCACACCTAATTCTAAATATAGCAGATCGATCACTAAAGAATCCTTTAAAACAGTCCTTAATAATTACTAGAGTGGTGATTCCTGGTCCTAAAAGCTGCTAGGGGCATGGTGGGTAAAGCCCGGGATTGTTAACAACAAGATAGGCAATTCAAATCTACCAGCCACTCCTTGGGAGAAAGATGAAGTTATCTTCTCCCTGCCAAGAAAATTTATTCTCAGAAACCCTATTTATGGTCACTATGTTGTAAATAAAGCAATGGCAGAGGGTTATATTTCTTAAATACATTATTCAACAACTATTTATTGAATGGACTATGACAGGCACTGTTAAGGGTATAAAGAAAATTAGACCTGGACCCTATGTACCATCTCCCAGAATATATGGTCTTTTATTAGCATGCCAGTAAACAAAAACATGTGCTCACATGCCGTATTACTATATAGGTTAGAAAGCCAAAAAGGAAGGACATAATCAGAAATATTTCAAACTGAAAGAATTGAAGAAGAAATCTAAGACTTGAGTTGAAATATTGAAGGATTCTGTGGGCAAAATGTTGAGTGATGCAGGAAGCATCAAAAGAGGGTAGAAGTAATGCCCAGAGTCAATGTACCAAAAAGAATTGGTTGGCAGTCAAACATCTCAATATGTAGCCTGTTATCAGGCACTAATGCAGGAAGAAGTTCAAACTGCACTGAAAGCATTGGTGAAAACAAGGCTCCAATTGCCCAAATACCATTTGAAATATTTCTGCAAACTCATAAAGCACTGAAAGAACTTACTCACATATGCCAAGAAATTTGGAAGACCTGGTTAACTGACTGGGAAAAATCTATATTTGTGCCAATTCCAAAGAAAGTAAGCCAACAAAATGTGGACAGAATGTGATACCATTAATATCACATGCAACTACATTTTGGTTGAAGATCATTCAACAATGATTTCACCAATATACTGACAAGGAGCTTCTGGAAATTCAAGCAAGAAAAATTGGCAGAGAATATTAGTGGAGGTATGTAGAAGGATATCATTGCTTATGTCATATGGAT